ATTATAACGCCCCCACGGCTGAAAGGGCGAGCATGTTTGGTGTGACTGGGATTCGAACCCGTGACCCTCGGATTGTGGGTCGAGCTCCCTAACCACCTGGCCATGCCGGGCCTTGTCTCAAGTGAGACCATCTGAAACATTTTTACCTTTATTATTATTTTTTAAAATTTTAAAGTTTCTTCTTTTATCTAAAAATAATTATAGCATGACATTACCATATATAAAAGCTTAAATGCTTTTAATATAATTGTACTAGCCTTATACATTTGTAGCTGATGATCATGAAAAAGTGAAAGGTTAAAACATGCTCATAAAAGTTTTATTAATTTATCTTTAACTGAATGACAAAGATTAAAAAATAAAGGTAAATATTAAATTACCGAACTTCTTCATCTCCAAACAGTATAATAGCTTGATTTGCTTAGTGGTTGGATGATATATTTTGGAAAAGAATAAATAAAGGAGAGGTTTGAACAAACAAATCAAATGTGTTATTGTAGTGATAACAATTGACATTATCCCATTGATCACTTACACCACCACCCAAATCACCAATACAGCAGTGGTCATTAGTTATGTTAGGAATCACGAGTTCGCAAGACATTACCATGAGTTTTTTTTTTCCTATAAAAATCTGGGTGAGTGTGAGAATAAATCTGTCATTGCTTTTGAATAACTTAGCAACTGCTAGTAAAATCCTTTGACAAACCTTCTGTTGAAGAAATTTAAAACACTGCTGGTTCAAAACCTCAACAAACTCAGATTCAAAATCTTGGTCACTGTACCAAGCTCCACCAGTGATCGAACGATCTGGCTCGAGGTTATACAACATGTACACTTTTTTCTTGGAGGCCTGAAAACAAATAAAATGCTTTATTAGATTAAATATATGAAAACTATTACACCTTCATAAATTAATACATCATGACAATAACTGATTTAATAAAATCTCCCCCTCCATATTTCAAAGACAAAGCAAAACAATAAAACCTCCTACCAAAAGTTAGACCTACATTATAATTTTCATCATCAGGTATTGCAATTTATAAGAATCTAAAAGTCTATATTAATATATATAAATAACTTTTGTTCATACTTCACAAGAATAAATTAACTGCTGAACATATTTCAGTGGGCTGATGTCTTACTCTATTCATGATCTTTTTATATGTTAACTTCTTTCTTTGTTTTAAGATTCTGACAGTCAAGTTGAAATGATGGCGAAACAGGAATGGACCATTTAGTAACTTTATATAACTTATATGCCAAACCTGTAACTGTAGTAATATATATATATATATATATATATATGTATATGGTCAGGGCCAGCACAACCAGGGGTGCAGCACATGCATTTGCACAGTGTAGCAGGTTTTTGGGGCATAATTGTGTAGAATTCTTATGATAGCAGAAGAGTGAGGATTGACGGTAAAGTCAGCATTTGCACAGAGCTGCAAAATACGTCATGCCAGCCCTGTACGTGGGAGATTTTATTAAATTTGTTTTAAGATTTAAAATAGCTCATTGCAGGAAAAAAAATTGACAAATACTTTCTTTGAAATTTTTTCCACCATCTACTTAATTATGAGTTTATTAATAGTCAGTGTGGTAAATTTTTTTATCACAATTTAGAAAAACTAAAATAATACATTTGTAACACCATGTAACTCAGTTGCATCATGATTGTTACACCTAATTTTAAGTGTCTATAGATCATGTTCATGGATAAAAACAATATCAGGATATTAACAAATAAATACTACATTTTGAAAGTGAACAAAAATGTAAATGAATTAAGTAAAACTTTGAAAAACAATCTGAAGAGGCCTTTTCACATTTAAATTAGTAGGTTAGTAATTTAGACTCTAAAGATCTTATAAACTTTATTAACATAGTATAACAAAATATTAATTCAAAAACATTTTAATTAATTGATTAATAAATTAATTAAGTAAAACTTTGAAAAACAATCTGAAGAGGCCTTTTCACATTTAAATTAGTAGGTTAGTAATTTAGACTCTAAAGATCTTATAAACTTTATTAACATAGTATAACAAAATATTAATTCAAAAACATTTGAATAAGCGTAATCAGTTAAGAAGACATCAAACAAGCAATACTTTTATTAAATTGCACTTATAATGTAATATTTAAATTTCTGGTAATGTTTCGAATAAAACAAAAAGGAAGTTCCAGAATGTAGTTTAAAGTTTACTATTCCTCCTTTGAAAATTAAATTTTAAAATTGTTTTTCACCTTTTGAAAAATTTTTGCAACTAGCTTCAAAACAGAAAATATGGTTTGATGGCAGTAAATCGTTTGATACTATCAAGATTCATATAAGTGAGATAGCTTTGTCTTACTTCAGTGGGTACACTTGTGAGTACAAACCTTCTAATCTTAGTAAAGAAATAACATAAGTTAAAATCTTAATAAAAATAACAAAATAGGTATAATGAAACCTAATAGTGGAAATGACCTAGTTATTTTAAGCAAATTAGATTACAATGACATCCTGGGGCAAAGATTTAGGACATCAGGTAGTTTTTAATGTAGAACAAAACACATCAGAAATCACTTTAATCATCATTATTGATACTTATATCGTTACTAAACAATTATTATCAACATATAGCAACCAAATTTATAATATCTATAACAGTGACACAGCAATGTTTATTTTAAAGAATCAACATGTAACTTCCACTTCAAAAAAAAAATTATGCATTTATTTTAGGTGATGCTACTTTAATAAATGATAGCTAAAAATAGAATCTTTAGAGGTTTACAATGTAAAAGCCACATAGAATGTATGATAAATGAAATATGTTACTTAAAGTTTTGTATTCAGAACATAATGCACCCTACAATTTAACAAGAAAGTATACTTTATACCTCTTTATCAGAATCTTTGTTCAAAACTTTAGAGAATTAATATGTGAACTAACAGTTTACTCATCTAGAACAATGTATGGAAATGAAGATGATTGGTTGATTAACAATTATATATTCAGCAAGTGAAGCTTCCTGCTGCTGTATTATATATATATGGTTCTGTATTTCATACCCCTCTTTACAAGTGGTATGTAGTTGCAAAATTTTTGGTATTAGTATTTTGTAGGCTAACAGCAAATGCTCAATCATCAGCTAAATTGGTGCACATGTTTATGGACAACGATTGACTAACTTCCAGTTGTATTTATCTCACTACAATTTGTGGTGAGCCATAGCTTCACCACACTTTTATCACTTGGAAAACCATGGCTTCTTCTTCTACTTCACTGTGGGACAACAGTAATCTGGTATATTTCATCCAGTTAGATCATAGCATCAGCACACTTAAACTTGGAAAACTATGGCTTCTTCTTCTACTTCACTGTGGGACACAACAGTAATCTGGTATATTTCATCCAGTTAGATCATAGCATCACCACACTTAAACTTGGAAAACTATGGCTTCTTCTTCTACTTCACTGTGGAACATGACAATAATCTGGTACATTTCATCCAGTTAGATCATAGCATCACCACACTTAAACTTGGAAAACTATGGCCTACTTCTTCTACTTCACTGTGGGACACAACAGTAATCTAGTATATTTCATCCAGTTAGATCATAGCATCACCACACTTAAACTTGGAAAACTATGGCTTCTTCTTCTACTTCACTGTGGAACATGACAATAATCTGGTACATTTCATCAAGTCATATCACTTTTTTGAATTTGTCGATTGCATAAACAAGTTTTAAAGTTTGTTCTTATTTAGTATGTTGTAATCCATTACAATAAAAACCACAAATGTTTAAGCATGCTCATGTAATATAGTCAAAAACTAGAAAAACAAGCAATTTTTACATGGGTAACATGCAAAACAGTGAGATTACAAGCACTGAACTTTATATATATATATATATCCTAAATGTTTTGAATTTCTCCTTCACAAATGAATTCAAAATACCAATAGGGTCTTTTATTTTTTTCACCTACAACACAGTTTCAAAAATATTTATCTCACACATTTATATTTGAAAATCAAATCTTTGTCAAAACTATTACAATTGTGCTAATATCTCCAGTCAAAAAGTTTTAAATATTATCACAGGCTAGTTAGTTTCAAGACATATTGTTGTGATTTTATTAAATAAACCTTTGTTTCTTTAATTTTTAAATTAAACTTAGGTATTTGCTGCACCATTACCAAAGAAATAAGACCATGCTAGAGCTAACCCTAGAAAAAGAGAGAGTTCAAATGCCTTCATCAACTATATATAGGAGATCAGTAGCTATAAAAAATGTAGTAAACTTGTGTGTACTTTAATCTATTAATAATATCACATAAGAAATATCATAAACACAGAGCATTTAAAACAAAACACTTGTTTTAACAACCATAAGTATTTATAGTCAGGATGAAAAATGGATTTGTCTGAATAAAAGCTTGTGCTTACACTATTGAAATAAATTAACCTCAGAAACAGTTTCATAACTGAAGGAATATTTTTAACATATCTAAACATTTGAACCCCCTACTTTTGGGATGTAAAAAAATTTTGCTTATTTAGTTATAGCGTAACTGCTTATGGTATTTAACATTTTCTACATAGTCTACATTCTTCTGATGAAGCATTAGCATTTTCTGGCTTGAAATACTTGCATGTAATGGCTTATGATGACACTTTGTAATTAGAAGCCTGAAGCCATATTCCTACTGTCAGTTTTTGTAAACCAGATTCTTTACAGCAGGTGTCTGTGACTTGTTGGTGATAAATTTAAACAATAAACAAACTGCAACATAGTCCACTTGTTTTATGTATTAAAGCAAATCAAATATATATACAAATGATGAGTTATTCTTCTCTGCTCTGTTATTACAATAAAGTCTGTGGTAATTTCATTTAAATATTGTCACTATATGCTCTTTATCGCTAAACTCATAATCACTCTAGATCTAAATAATAATATCTCAACACGTATTTATATCACAACAAAAGTCTAGAATATTCCAAACAATATTAGATATTCTGAAGCAATAATACTCAATTAAAACAATGAAGAAAATTCAGAAAGTTCTAGTAACGTGATGCAACAATATAACACTCGCTAACTCATAAAAATTGAACATACACGTATACTTAACGGCTACACGTGGTTTTAATCACAAAAAACTTCATGTCACAGAAATAGAACAATAAAGTGATTGTGGGTTTGAGTTTTAAACAGACCCCATAGCTTCACACAATATGTATTAGCTTTTGATCTCACAAATTAAAAACTCCCTTTAAAATATTCTGTGTACAGGCCTGATCTATGTGATCATCATGAAAATTAGGTATCAACAGAGACTGCTGATAAAAAAATGGGTTACTCCAAGTATGAAAGTTCACTGCTACAGAGAATGAACATGTAACATACTGACATCCAAGATATTAAACCACACACAAACAATGCCTACACTGTACAAACACATGTATACACGAAAAAATATATATAAACTACATTAAATGTTATTCCATCCTCGATATTTCATTCAAATTATTTAATGGGCTACTTTATTTATTTTTTTACTAACCAAAAGATATTAGTGAAATATACTAGCAATGAAATCAGGGAGATGTGTGTAGAATTTAATTTCACATTTAACTGTTTTCATATAAAGTCCACTTTTTCATTATTTAAAAACAGGACAATCAGATAGTTCCTCAGAAACAAAAGAAACCCCAAATCTTATCCGTTGTAAAACAAGCCGCCATTCAAGTAGGAAATTTGGCTAATCATTAATTCAATATTAACATATCAAGAAAGAAAATACACAACTATATTAGAAACAATTTTAGAAGACTTACGGATACAGATTTAACAGCTTTGATCAGCTTCTTTCCTTCTAGACTTTTCAGGACCTTGTTTACTTGGGTAAGAAGTAAATTACTTTTAAACCTGATGTCTCGAATCCAGATTCCTAGTTTAAAAAATAAATAAATTGGAGTTCTTAATCCACAAGTTAAACATCTTTCAAGTCATTACCAAACTCTCACTTATCTCTTGGAAATTATCAACATTTAATATTAAAGGTTTTCACTACTACATAACAGATAACTTCAAATAATACTTACCTTTATTTCCAGCATCTTCAATAATCTGATACACAATCTTCTCTTCATTGTCTGCTCCCTTAACTTTCCTATTAAAAATATTAGAACAATATTAAGTAGGTTAGTCATCAACTGTATTTCGTTATCACTAGCATGATTAGCAGGTACATTTGATACAAATGTTTCTCTTATTAATCAGTTTTTCATTTTCCAATTATTTTTTTAAAGAAAAGAAGAAAAAATTATTAGAGAGTTTATTTCTTTAGAAAAAAACAAAAAGAGAGAAAAAAAGGACTGCATAAAATATTCCTGATTAAAAGTTTAAAATAACAAGGATAATTAAAACTTCCAATCAAAAAATTAATGGAAAATACATTACTATAATACTATTCTTTTAACTAGTTGAGATTCAATTTAAACTACTAGTTACTGAATGTAATATCATAAAATCAGTATATATTTTCCCCCTTTACATTTTATTGTTATTAGCATATCTTGTCTGTATTATACAGCTTTACTGGGCAGGAGATGACTAATCTAGTGTAAAGTGTAATATGATTAAATATAATAAACTCAAAAGATGGAAAAAGATATGAAATGTTGTTCTCAAAGGAACTTAACACTTTAATAACAAAAAAGAGAGAAAGAATAACAATTTAAAAACTATTAGTTCATAATTATTTCTCTTTATAGGAGAGAGTACACATAAGATATGTACATATATAATGAATAAAAATACTGACAATTACAATGAATGAACATCAAATTATCATAGTTATAATTAACGAACAAAAACTAGGTCTGTTAATTTTGATCACAACTTTCTTTACTATCCCCCTGTACAGGTGTCAGTATGTTCATAATAGCATTTCAAACAATCAATAGATCATGCTCTGGCAACCAATATTTTTTACACACCATAAGATCAGATTCCAATAAATAATACTGTGTTTCATAAGATCAGATGCCAATAAATAATACTGCGTTTCATAAGCCCGGCTGACTTAATCTCTGATACAGAGGTATAAAGTTTTAGTTAGCAGTGGTTTGTAACACACTGGGTATCCAGTTGAAATACTATTATACAGTCTTCATTCTTGAAACCTGTATAGAGCCAGTAGAAGAAAATATGACTATAATGTTATCAATATCATTGTGGTATTATATCTTACAATTATTATTCTGTACAACAGCAGGAAGATAATAGTTGTCATAAATTCAAATGTCAAACATCTGAAATATAAAATATGAAAACCCATAAGATCTGCCATTACATCTCAAGTTTATCATCTTAAATTCATAATTTATTGTTATGTTTTGGCACTTGTGTATAAAGTTAAAATCATAAATAATATTCAATGTTAGAATTGGTATACAATTAAAAACATTTTATTTAGGCCTATCTATGGCCTTCAAAAAGATGTTGTTTATTGTTCATTTAATATATAAGTTTAACCAAATGAAGTAATCTTTCATTTATAAAGATATATTTTTTACTTTTTGATGTTTTATAGATATGAAACAAGACCTAATGTTGTTGTTTTGTTAACACAAAGTTACACAATGAACTATCTGCACACTGTCTATAATAGAGAATCGAATACCATTTTAAGCCTTGTTAGTCTGTATATTCGCTGTTGATCCACCATGGAAGGATAATATCTGCACTTCTATTTCATCAAGTACTATTGATATATGTTGACAAAAGTTGTATAAGGTGAAAATGAAATTACAAAACACTTGCTTTGGAATGAGTATAAGTGTTTTTTTAAATATGTAATAATACTGAAAACAATGTTATTTTAATTTGGAAATTTTTGTTTGCGAGGCTTTCAAAAGCTGTTCAAATTATGCCAATGATGTGTTAAGCTTGAGGTAAAACGTACAACGTCATTATAATATTCAATAACTAACATCAGGTATTGCATGTTCCATAATACCTGTTTGTTTCCTTGAACTTCATGTAAACGTACTGAAGGGCTACCTGTATCAGCCATCTTTAATTTTGTAGTGATAGACTCGAGTGAAAGCAGCTAGTAAACAGCACCCACTACCAATTCTTGGGCTACCCTTTATCAAAGAATAGTGGCATTGACAGTTATATTATAATGTCCCCACAGCTAAAATAGTTTCAATCCCACAACACAAAGATTGTGAATTGAAAGCCCTAACCACCAGGCAATGCCAGGTCCCCTGTGGTACTTACATGTAAGTGACATCATAGATAATATGTGTTAACTGTAAAGATGACAATGGTCCCTGAAAGAAAACTTTCTGACTTAAAATGTTTCTAAACTTAAATAATTTAGAGGTACAATATATATGTGTTTTTGTTTGGTAAATGTGTATTTCTTTAAACATTGAAACTATGTTACTTGCAGGTGATTTGAACAAAATTCTCCTCGTAAGCAGCAAATATGCTTAGTTTGCATATGTGATGATCCATTGTTTTTACACAAATTGTTATGACTAAGATACATCCATTTATTACTTAGTTTAACACAAAAAATTATGAATATTTACATTTCTGTGAATTATTATAAGTTTTAATTATCACAACTTTAGTCCACATTAAACAGTAAAAGTGATCAATGGGTCACTCAATCAGCCTTCTGTGATCCGATTGTTTCACATTTATGATATGGAATCATTATCATCACCCACACTATTTATTCTGAAAAATAGGTCCAAAGATGCAAAAATTAATTAAACAATAGTTGCAACCCTCACTTGGATGAACACAATGATTTATCTTTACAAAAACTAAAACAAAAAACATGATGTTTTTTATAGAATTTGGTTAGAAATTTAAAATATACATATAAACCAGTGAAACATAACAAATACCAAAAAGGACCTATATAAAAAAAATCCATCGTAACTACATCTCATTAGTAATTCATCAGAGGAATCTTAACTTACTGAGAGTTATCAGAAGTCTTCAGGCGATAAAGCAACTGTTTACCTTGCTTCAGTATCTCTAAACGATCCTAAAAACAAAACAATGTACGAAGCAAGAAGCTTGCAATCATGATTTTATTCAACTTACTTAAGAATGTAGTTAAGAAATTACCAATAAGGGGTGATCATTTATGATTTACAAGTATAAAAAAAACATAAATAAAAGGTAATAAAATAATTTTACTTTATGTCAAAAGTTAACATATGTGGTATTAAGGTACACTGACATCCGACAGATAAGTTTAAAAGGTATATTCCCTGTATATATCAGTATGAAAACCTGCTAGTTTTTGAGAAAATGGGTGACATGATCTTTGATGTGGCAGCATAGAGACTGAATATGGTTTCCAAAAAACAGTCACCCATTTTCTCAAAAACTAGCAACTTTTCATACTTATATTGACAGAATATTTAAAATTTATTCTGATTCTACTAATTTTAAAAACAAATTGAATTATATAAAAAGCATTGCTGATGATAGAGGTTATAATGTTGATATAATTGAATGTATAATACAAAGAAAACACAATTCAATTTTTACAAGGAAATGTACTAGGTTAAACAGTGTTTGTAATAATAAAATTAATAGTACAGTAACATTACAATATATATATATACAAGGTATAACTAGACAAATTGCTAGTGTATTAAAAAAAAAAGTACTCCTATTTTTAAACTATTTAACAAAACTGAAACAATACTTACTAGCACTAAAGATAAAAAAGATATTTTAGAGAAAAAAGTATATAACAAATTAGGTGTGAATGCAACAAAAAGTATATTGGTCAAACTAAACGTAATTTGAAATATTGTCTTAATGAACATAAAGGTTATGTACATTTATAAAAAGATGATAATTTCTCCTCTTGCTGAACACAGGTCATACAATACGATGACATGAAACAATAAATTTAAATGAACTTAATACTCAAAGTGAACTGAATATTAGAGAATCAACAGAAATTTTGTGTGGTACAATAAATAATTCTTTGTTAAATAGAGATGAAGGGTTAGCTGGTGATAATGTACAGTTTTTGAATTAAATATTGACTTCTTATGTACAATACCCATATCTTCATAGATTATAATGAGTTAAACTTTTTACTTATAAAACTATCCGCTTGTCATGCAGGTTTTTACTCCTGATGATGGTAGTGTAAAGTTACCAAAACATGTAGTTTTTTAATTTTGGTCATCAGCCAAATAAAATTATATTGTGCATTTTAAATGTTGATCATGTTCATATTTTTAAAACAAATATATGTCGTTAAAGTGTTTAAGTTTTAAAGAGATAAATCAAACTGATCACAAACAGTTTTTTATTATAATTACGATCAGTAATACAAGAGGGCATATTCTCAAACTAAAGAATTTCAAGAGTGTAAAAATGCAGCATTTCCACACTTCTTCATAAAGATCTATCAATTTATGGAACATATTACTGAATAAATTATAGTGACAACACTCTTTTGATTTAAAATTAAACTGGAAAGGTAACAAAAACACAACCTAACAAACTTTATAGAAGACATTATTATGACAGGCACATAATGAATTGTTTCACATAGCTAAGATCAGAGTAAATCAAGATAATGATGTGCTAACAGATACAAATGTACCCAGGCTTACTTTATGATGATCACTGTATTATATAAGAACGTACAAAGAGTACTAACTTGAGACAGCAACCGGTTCAGGCCATGTGCTCTTTCTTTTACAGTGGTGCCTGATATTTCAGCTTGCATAAGTTTATCTGTAACTCCATTAGGATTTTGTTGGCACAACTGGATGATCCTAAGATGGATTAAAAATGTCCAAGTTTCACTAATGTTCTTAATGAATAAAACTTTCTATGTTAACAACTGCCAAGTTTACTTATTACAAGTTGCTATTAACAAATGTATTGGTTTTAAAGCTTTCAACTTTCACTACCATCCTGAGAAAAATGAAATCACTTTGAGCACTTTTGTAATTCATTATGTAGAAGAAAAAATATTTTTTTTTTCTTTTCTGGCTGATTTAATATTTAGGATAATGTGGCTACTGTGGTGTACAGCTTTTAACTCACAAGAATTTTTTAAAAATAAAACATCAAATATTACCTAAACACTTTGTTATTTCTTACTCTAATACTTATACTTATTAGTAGATTGGGAATCATATCCAAATTTAATTATAATTACACTATCTAATATTTATTATATTCATGATTTCAAATAAAACTGTAATAATCCTACCGAGTTTCTAAGTCAACTTGCATATCAGATACTTCTTTCCCATCTTCGGTCATACTGTTTTAACCTGTAAACAAAATCTATTCTATAAATTCATTTTAACAATGTCACTTTCAGTCAGTGACAAGAAACACTTAAAAATCTTTTTCTGTAGCAGATTATAACTTTAATAAAACATATGCAGAAGAGCATCATGGGATTCTCAGGCAAATTCTCTGAGGATGAGAACATTACTAGACAGAAGTACGCTGATCCAGTACCCTAGGTAATTCAGTATTAAATTGCATTATCAAACTTAGAAAAGAAACAAAAATTCAGTGTACTTCATATATCACATTGTGAGATTATATATGTTTTCCGAGAAGCTCTTAGCTTTAACACAAATTAATTTTAGTACATTTTATGCCAATATTGTTTTGGTGCTTTACTTTATAATGAATTATGTATTTTATATTTTCATAGCTTATGAAATTATCTGCTTAGCAAACACATTTCTGTAAAACTTTAAAAAAAAATTAAAACTTACAATTCATTGTTTTCTGGAACTACCATAAAGTAGATTAACTAGCTAAATGTAATTTCAAGATAGGAGTACTAACTTGGACACGTGCAAAAGCCACCCAAGTAAGAGAGATTACTTTCCAAGAAATCCCCAATTCCTTTCTTAAACTCCTGTAAAATGCTGGCCACCACTACTGCCAAAGGTAACTCCTTCCGTAAGTCAACCACCTTGTAAGAAAAATAAAAATGTCTTAACACAAGCACAGCTTTTTTTTTTTCAAATCTTAAGCTTTTGACCCCTCAGCCCTCCCCCCATATAATTTTGTAAACTTCAAAATGATCACCTTTTAACTTTCTTTTATTAAGAGAAAATAAGTTAAGAGACCTTGACCTATCCTTAAAAGATAAACCTTTCATCCACAGAGTCATCCTAGTAGCCCTCCCCTGAAATCTTTCTAATAAAGCCACATCTTTTCTTAAATAAGGAAACCAAAACTAAGAAACAATTTGAGGTTTAATTAGGGATTTGTAAAAAGATGTAACTAATTGTACTTGTATCAAATTGGTCTATAAATAACCCTAAAATTATATTAGCTTTACTTCTAGTAATAGAATATTACTTCAATGGGTTAAGTGACTTATCCATCACTATGACCCAAACCCTTCTTCCATCAAGCAACTGAGTGGGTTCCCATCTACATTAAACGTGTGATCCAAATTATGATAATTCAAATGTATTACTTTTCACTTTTTATAATTTTGGGTTATTTTCCAAATACTTGTCCAATTTACCAATTCATTCTGCAATATTTCAACATCCTCAATCCAATTTACCAATTAATTCTGCAATATTTCAACATCCTCAATCCAATTTACTAATTCATTCTGCAATATTTCAACATCCTTAATCT